GAAATTTCTCCTCAAAAAAAAAATTGACAATCGATCATTTGAGTACGTTTTAATGTTAATCGATAAGTATTAGATAATTTTTAATAATTAATATATCGATGTTTAAATTCTCTATAATTTTTTCCTCTCAACATCAAATTATATTTACACGCAAACAAATTCTCTCATAATCCAATGAACAAATTAATGTATTATCGATTTATATCGAATAATATGCATTTCTAAATTTTCAACAAAACATTAACAATGAAATACCATTCGAATTAGACACGATTAATGTTTTTTAAATATTAAATAGAAAAGATAAACAAAAAAAGAAGGGTAATAGTTTCAGGATCATTAGGATTAGGAAAAACATTTGCAGGTGTATCGATTGGATAAGATGAAAAGGGTTTAGGAAAGGGATAAGAAAAAGAAAGAAAGGATATGAAAGAGAATGATGTGTCAAAGGCATCATATTCTTCATCTTTTTTTTCGTTAGATATTCGTAAAAGTCAAATTCAGTTTCCATAGCGAACGTGAAAGAGTCATTCTTGTTCGCATTTGAGGTTCCAAGAAGTCCGGTTAGAATTTAGGCTACGAGGAACGCGTTCCTACCCGAATCTGGAACGCCACGGTCAATGGCCTTGCCTTCAATTTTCTGCCTTCGAGATTTTCGGCCACGACTATACGCAAAGAGAGGACACACGACTATCTTGCCTTGCTTTTTTCTTTTTTTCTCTTTTTCGTTTTTTTTTTTTTGGCTTCTCCTCTTACGTGCTTTTAAAATCCTACCCAGTTTGAAGTTCTCTAACGAATCCTTAGATTCCTATTGATTCGAGAGTTGATAAGTGGAGGATTTGTTAATAAACGATTAACACGTTTCGAAATAATTTGTTAATGTTAATCAATAGATTAGATGTTCGTTCATGTTGAAATCATTTTTTGATTCATTTTGTTTAAGGATAAATTTTTAAAATAACGCTATTAATTGTAAGTTTTTTGTATTTGTATAAGTAATAATATGTCGTAATAAAAAAAATTTAAGTTGCTGAAGAAGTCCCAAATAGGGACGAAACGTTCAACGGATAAATATATTGTTCATCTAATTTAAACCTGTCCAAAAAATAACATCCCTAAGAATTAAACTTAGTAATTTTTATTAATATTTCAAAATATATTATTATACTTTTGAATTGTGGTTTCATGGTAATTTGAAAAAAAAAAAGAAAACGGGGAAAAATGATTAATTTGATTATAATTATTGCAAAGAAATAAGAATTTTGTGTTGACGTACCATATATGATATTTTTTATTTAAATATGTATGTGAAAGGTATTTTTATAAGATTTAGAATAAGTACTTCCTATAACAATCATTATATGAATTTATGTTTCTTTTTCTAATTTTTTTGATCATTTGTAAACTCATCGAACAACAATTCTGATTGAATTAATCTCAATTATAAATAAATTAAATGCAAAATTCTAACAATATACAAATCATTCATTTTAATTCAAGTAGTTCTATCAAAGATAGAACAATATATTGGAAGGGTTGATACAAACAGATTGCAATAATTATGTTCTAAGAAACTGAATTGGTCAAATCATCCAAATAAAGCCCACTCTTCCTTAC